GCCTCATCGTAGGAAAAGCTCTTGGTTCTGAGACACGCTGTGGACGAGCCTGAGACGCAACATGAAGTAGTTCAGATGAAATATTGTGAGTCCGGTTCTGACGGAGCAGATCAAACAGGTTGAAGTGAGGAAGCCGCTCCAACCTGCTGCTGGGTTAACGTTCAACACACCTGCCTCAGCTGCTTCTCATCCATCCTGAGGGACGAACTGGACTCCTGCTGCTCTGACGGCGCTTCCTGATCACCTGGACCATCGCACCTTCCTGCCGATCACATCTGAGATACGGGACGCCGTGTTTCACTCGTTTAAGGCGCCGAGCTTTTCCCTCAACCAGAAGAGCTTTGTCTTTGTAATTACAGCGGATTAGAGACTAATATCTAATTATGCCTTAATATGCTTTAATGCATTTTTAATGGCAGCTGGGTGTTAAAGTCACATTCGCCGCCGCCTCTGCTGGGGTGGGAGGTGAAGCCGAGGAAGGCAGAGGGTTTGTTGGCAGCCGAGGCTGGAAGGAGGCTGGAAACATTGATTTCTTTGGCAGCGGTTGGAGCAGCCGAGCAGGGAGGCAGCTGCTGCATACTGACGCTGTCCAACGCCAAAGTGTTGCAGCAGCAGCAGCAGCGGCGATACGCAGTAAAACGCTTTTCCCTCGCCGCTGTTTATGTCAAAGGAGGGAGGACACAACCGCCTGCTTGAATTACGACCTGGAATAGAGACTGTTCATTGATTTGCTGCTTTATGGAGGGACGACTACGTCGCAGAGACAAGTGAGATGGAGCAGCGCTGGCAGCCGGAGAGGCATCGGACAGAACACGCTCCAGAACCCAGAGATCATCACGCAAACGCACACACGATGTGAGAGTTGGGAGGGTCGATCACACTCTGTTTGTTTGTCTGGATTGTTCTCCACAACAGCAGTCCACCATTTGTTCCCCTTGTTTATTCTAATCGGAGGAGGAAAACATCTGCATAATATTTCAAAGATTGATTGGGATGCAAATTGCCTTGTGAGCCCAATCGGTGTGGCTCGGCCCGTTTTAATTGGGTTCTGTTAATTAATGCTCGATGTGAAGACAAACTGAATTACTTGCAGGTTTCGCGCATGTCATTATGTGCTAATTGTTCCAGCAGGAGAGCATGTGTGAGCAGGACGAGCTCGCTGCAGATTCCTTTAACTCTTTCCTGATCCTGCAGAAAATCATTATGAACACAGGTCAGCGTGTTAGCGCTCCATTAGGAGGCCCAGACGTCGCGTTTTAATCACCGAACACCAGCAAACATCCCTTATTTACAGCCTCTAGCTGAACGCCTTCAGCTCGTCAGGAAGCATTTAATCTGGAGGTTAGATTAATTTGCTGCGTTTAGATATGGACCTCTGGAGGACTTCCTGCTAAACGACTGACTGGATAACTGCTCACGACACCGTTCTCTGTTATGCTACAACGGTTTGGTGCGTCGCTGAAGAAAAGCACAAGAAGAAACCGTTTAAAGGATGAAAGATGACAAAGCGAGTGGAATAAACACTGAACAGCAGCCAGCCAAGAGCTCTGATGAACTGAAGCTTCTTGTGTGATTGTTTCCTGGTTTCTTTCCTCTGTGACACTAAACTGAAGATCTTTGGACTAAACAAGACATCAGATGAAACTCTGAACCACAAACAGCTGATTGTCACATTAATCAGTCATGAAAACACCCGTCACTGCAGCAGGCGCTGATTCTGTCCTCATCCAGATGCAGAATCTAAAGTCCATCCATCATCTCTACACCTTCATCCTCACCAGGGTCATGGGGGCTGGAGTCTATCCCAGCTGACTCATGGTGAAGGCAGGTTCACCTGGACAGGTAACCAGTCTATCACAGGGCTACACTTAGAGACAGACAACCAAGCACACTCACATTCACACCTACGGACAATTTACAATCACCAATTAACCTCAGCATGTTTCTGGACTGTGGGAGGAAGCCGGAGAACCCGGAGAGAACCCACGCTGCACGGGGAGAACATGGAGACTCCACGCAGAAAGATCCCGGGTGTCCTCACCGGGACGCCAACCGGCGACCTTCTAGCTGTGAGGCGACGGTGCTAACCACTGATCCACCTGTAGCCCCATCTAACATTATAAAGACAGATAATTAACTGTCCAAGAGAACATTTAGGAAACTGTTCTGACAAAGTTTCAAGTCAGAGGCACAGAAACTGAAGCAAATCTGAGGTTTTATAAAGTAAAGGACTTAAAATCTGGTATCAATCCTGTTTCTGAAGCTGTTTCAATGTAAACGAGTCTTTGAGGGGAACCAGGTCATCAGACTGTCAGAGGAGCTGTGACTCTGATTCATCAACGCTTCGCACCTCGACTGGAAACACAACAAAATGAAACGTGTCTCCGCCCGCAGGAGGATCCCGAATGCGGCGGAGGCTCAGCGAGCGACCGATGAACTGTGGGTAATCTGCGAACCTGCTCCGGAGATGTATGTGCAACTTGAGGAGCAACACGGCCACATTCATATCTTCAGGCCATTAACCAGAGGGAGCTAAATCTGGGACGCTGGTGCAGATATACGACGCTCGGGAGGCATCGGAGGGTAAACGGGCGGCTGAGTCATTACGGCTCTCATCGTCCTGCAGCTCCTCGGCAGCAACAAATAAACACATTAATGCGATCAGTCGTGCTCTCGGAGCCACAGTGCACAGCAATTAACGGGCGTCTGTTGCCATGCGGGCCGCGGCGTCGTTAGCGGCCGGCTGACCTTGAGGAGCCTCGTTAGGGGATGATTGACGTGGCGACGGTTGTCATTGGTAACAGTGGGAAGGCAGCGATTGGACAGACGGGAGGCCGACGGCGGAGCACCTCTGGAGGCAGCGAGGAGGCCTGGCCGCCTCAGGACGAGACGACACGGCGAGTTCGAGGAAGGAGACCAACCCCAGGTCTGGAGGAACTGATTCAAACAAGACGCGCAGAGTTCTCCTCCAGCACAAGGTAGAACTTTACGGCGTATTGTTGAAAAGTCGTCAGCGTCAAAACTTCAGTTACTGATTACTCACAAGCTAAAGGAACATCTGGACGGCATGAAGGAAGTCTGGCTGCTTCAGGATGAAACAAGACAACTGACACCGAGTTTTAAAAGGAGATGAACCGATTTCAACAAGAAAACCTGAGATGTTTTCTACACAATGATTCACAGACCAGCAGGTCGAGGATCATCAGAAAGTCCAAAATCTGATGATTCCTTCTGGTTGTGCAGGTCTTTGGTTGACAGACTGTGTCTCTGTGGTGACTGGAAACAGAGAACTTTCCCACTAACACCTCCAGGTTGCACCTTCAGTCCTGATGAAGCCACAAACAGATGTTTCCCAGCAGCTCTGAGCTTTAGACGGATTTAGCAGCTCGACCTCAGAACCGTGGTCCAACACCCTCCGACTGGAACCACAGCCTCGCCGTTTCTGCTGCAGCCGTTCACATCCACGTCTGTCTGGACTCATTCAGAACGTGGAGGCAAAGCTGCAGCCGACAGCCGGAGACGCTTCGGACACGACGCTGCACAGAAGCTACAAATTCAGAACGTGAATCCTTCACATGCGTCTGCACACAAGATTTATACGATCAGAGATTGGAGGCGGCGGTTCGGCTTTCGACCACACGTGAAATATGGTCACAATCTCCCCATCTGCTGCTGAGAGACGGCCAGAACAGAGTTTTCAGAACACGATGTTATCAGAAGTTCTGTGACTGCAGCTACTGGGAAGGTTTTCTGGTTTCTTTCCTCTGTGACAGTAAAGAAAACTCTGATCCACATTTTCACTATTTTCTGACACTGTTTGGACCAAACAGCTGATTGGTTCATCCAGAAAACAACCGTCTGATCAATCAGTGGTGGAAACACTCACAAGTTTTATTCCCACTAGTTTCAAACAAAGACTCAAACTTAGTTCATGTGCTTTTAGTAGCAGCATCTAATATAATAATAATAATAATAATAATAATATAAAGGCAGAAAAAGAAAACAATAAGGAGACATTATTGTTGGGATTCTTCAGCATCACCTGCTGGATTTATGGGATGTCTGATGAATAACCGGAGTTCTAGCAGCGTTTCTTCTCAGTGGCTCCACCAGTACGACAGTGGGTGAAGTTTGGAGCTGAAATATTTACCTGACTGACGACTATTTAATTAAAAATAAATTAATTAATGTGAATATTTTCTGGTTTCTTTCCTCTGTGACAATAAACGGAATATATTTGGACTAAACAAGACGTCTGAGGAAACTCTGAGACCAGACGACTGATCGATGACCCGATGCCAGATCTGAGGAGCAAAGTCCCAGAACCAGAACTGAGTCCATCAGAATCTAGAAACTCTCCAACAAGCTCTGAATGCTGCAGACGGGTCAACGCTGACATTAATCCACAGATCCAACCCACCAACTGTCAGAACGAAGGTTTCTGGATCAGCAACCGGAAAAAAAGTCCTGAAACCGACACTAAAGCCTGACAGACGTTCCAGCAACACGTTGCTCAACAGGGCAACGTGGCAACGCCGGTCACCGCTGGGA